CCAGTAACTAGAGAGATTAACTTTCCATTCCTTTCTGTATCTTCACTCTCTTGAAGTTTCATAATTGTCCCTGAACAAATTTCTTGGGTGGTAGATTGCGTTTATTTTCATGTATTTAAAGGTTTTCTGTCATCATCTCCACTCATTCACTATGTATGTCAAGAAATCATAATTAGGAAAATGATTTTTCGACTCATTTGTGTCTACAACTCTAAGATTAATTTCTGCGTATTTTCCCAGTAGAGTAAATCCTTGACATTCCTGATTGAACAGTCACGGTTTCAATAACTTGCAAGAGACCAGGAAAGGCCATGGTATGTAATAATTTATCATTTTGCTGGGGCTCAAAATTGAATCACTCCTGCTGTAAGGCTGCTGTGCAAGAAAAAGTCACTCTGCTAAAAGAAGCAGCCGGGCACTCTGCATAAGAGTGGTAGTGGGTGTGATACATCCTTCCCCCTTCCCCAGTCCTTTCCCTTCGCGGGTCATCATGAATATTTGCACATTGAAGGCCCTGAGAAATCTGGCAATAAATAAATCTGTTTCATTTTGTTTAATGAAAGAAATGTTTCACGCTCTCAACTTATGTGAGAATAAACTTTTTTGTCATGGCACACAGCGTACCATGAGACACGAGTTTGGGATACAATGCTTTAATACTTAACCTAAAATGATTCTGGGCAAAAGATCATTTTAAAGGTGTCTGCTCCCATTTAATGTCTCTCTCTCTCTCTCTCTCTCTCTCTCTCTCTCTCTTTTTTTGTAAAGAAGACATTCTATGCAATGGTCAGTGAGGGTTTTTTGATCCTGCCCCAGAATACATTCAAATCACGTGCAGGTGTGGTATTTTCCATCCTTCGTTTCCCACTTTTGTTCAATTTGTTTTCCCTGCTGCCTAACAATTCCAGCAATTTTATGCTCTGCCATGTGTTTTATTTTATTTGTTCACTTAACAAACACGTCTGTAGTGCTCACTGTGTCTATTCTAAGTACTTTATTAATAAAGACTCCTATACCATAAAACAACCCCATGAGTTAGACGCCATGATTGTTATTATCCCAATGGTACAGGCCAGAAAACTGGAGTATCAAATGATGACAAGGCATTCTCGTGTACTTATTTTTTAAGAACACTGTCACAAGTACTTTCCTCTACTCATAATAGTGGTTTTATTATAAATAAATTTCATATTATGTAAAGGAAGAAAACCTCCATTCTTTGTGATTTGTTTTTTAATGTGCCTTTAGTCAACACTAAATATTGAAATGTTCTGATTGGGTGGCTCAGTCAGTTGAGCATCCTACTTCAGCTCAGGTCATGATCTCATGGCTCGTAGGTTCGAGCCCCGCGTTGGGCTCTGTGCTGACAGCTCAGAGCCAGGAGCCTGCTTCGGATTCAGTGTCTCCCTCTCTCTCTGCCCTTCCCCCACTTGTGTTCTCTCTCTCTCTCTCTCTCTCTCTCTCTCTCTCTCTTTCTCTCTCTCTCTCAAAAATAAATAAGCAAACATTTAAGAGAAAAAAGAAATGTCATGATTACCTTTCTTCGTCTCTATTGAAATAACTATGTTTTCTATCAGTTTTCACTTAATGTTGATGCTAACTTTGCTTGACTGAGGCCAACAGTCCTTGTTTATAATGGATTACTTGTCTCAATGTGCTGTTCTGTCTTGTGCATTAAGATTAACATTTTATTTCTAAGCTCATAATGAGTTGAAGGACTCTTCCCTTCTTTAAGCAAGGGGGAAATACAAATCATATTTACCTCAGCCAATTCAATATATAAATATTAATGAAGTCGCTACCATGCTACCCTGCACTGTAGAACATAAAAGATTCAAAATGAGTATAATATGAGGACGAGGCTTAGCAGCAGAACTTCTAAGACCATAAGGGAAAGAGAATCATGTTGGAGAAGACAATGATTTTGAGGATTTTGTACATGCTTAGGATCTGTGCAACTTAACACATGTTTTCTGTTCCTCAATTTTGGGTTCCCCCAAAGACTTAAGATATTGCTTAAACAGAAAAGGTCCCAGATCAACTGAGTGAACACACAGGACTACGATGCCCTCTGCAATGGAAAAGGCTTCATCTGCCTCACTGACAGCTACATGCCCACCATGTACCCAAGTGCCAGGCACACGGTAGGTGCTCAACAAATAATTATTAAAATGAAGAAATAAGCCAGCTCGTTGACCATAGCCACTGGTCAAGCTGCTTTTTCAAATGCAGGTCAGCTGGAGATTTGTTCAATGAGATGTTTGTTGCAAAGTCTTCACCCTCCCTGTGAGGTCAGTCCATGGCGGGGAGGGACAGGGAGCTTGGAGACACGGAAACTGGAGGGCAAACAGAGTCCTTGGGACCTGGAGAAAGAGGTCAAGACTATGAAGTTTTCTGGCAGCTTCCACACTCCTAGAAACAGAGCTGAGTGTATCTGTGGCCCCAGGTACCCGACCTGGACCTGTCACTTTGCCCTTTGCCACCCAAAACTCTCTGATTTTTTGGGGTCAGTAATGAGACAATGAACAAACACAGAGAAGGTATCACCTTCTGTAATTGTCCCTGACAAGCCCTGAGCCAGTCCAGCTACCTGATACCTGGTGACCAAAATATCTTCAGCCCCAGGGAGACAGATGCTACATAGGGACTGAATGGATACATCCCATCAAGTGAGCAAACTTGTCACACGCACTTCTCTTCTTTCCTTCCATCCTTCTTCATGTCTTCATTGCCTTCCCCAGCTTCTCCCCCCTCCCCTCCAGAAGTTCCTTTCTCCATTCCAACCCCTCTCTATTTTCCCTTCTGGGCCCAATGCCAAATGCCCATAAGCAACCCCTCCCCCATCTCACG